TATTCTGAGATAACGAACTTTTAAAATATTTTTCTTTAACTGAAAAGTTTTGTGTATTTGTAGGAAGTTGAAACATTTGGGGAATTCAGTTTGAAGGAAGGTGTGTCTTTGCAGCCGTAAGTGTCTTGTTGCAATCCAAAATAACACAAGTAAAAAGGTAAATGTTTTAAAAGTGCACAATGGAATAAGAGCGAGCAGCTCTTGCCAGCCTGCTTTAGGTCCATTTGTATTCATATTTTTTCACTAAATAATAGCTGGATATGTTCCAGTTGAAGCTTTGTATGCTTATTTCCTTCATTGGTCTATATAAGGTGGTCATATGGTAGAAGTGGATAAAAATGTTTATTGAGTCTTTTAAATATAATAGATGCATTTCATCTTTTGTTCCATAGTTCCCTGCTTACTTTAATTAAAAAAAAGAGTACAGCTGATTGCAAAGATTACATTCCTGATTATACAGAAGCCTTACTTATATTTCTAAAAATATTTTTCAAACCTTAAAACATAGGCTAAAGTATTCATATTTCTTGATGGCAGTGTGCCTATGTCCAGTGTTCCAGGTCTATTGTTACTGGGCTCCAGGCTGCTAAAGTGTTCGTGCTTGGGTTTCTATTTCATTATTCCTTTGTCATGTTTTTTCATTGAAGTTGACTTCTTCAGGATCATCTCTGATTTATGCAATTACAAGGGGGGATAGAGATTTGAGGTGCCTTTTTTTTTCCCCTGTGTGTTCTCATTGTCTTGAAAGTTCACTTGATAGTAAGCGCAGAGCTTTTGTTTTAATTCTGTGTCTCTAAAATAAACCATTTAATAAAATTGTTAATGAAGCTTCACTAGCTTAGTCTGGGCTTTAAAATTAATGTCACTCCTTTAACTCCTTAGCTATATTACTTTGAACTATAAATAATCTAAGGATAATGAATGGGAAAGCAGATGATGCCAAGAATGCTTTGCATTTGGCAGAGTGACCAAAATTTGTTTAAATTTGCTTATACCCCAGCAGATCTCTGTAAACACAGTATAAGTGAGCTTGTTTTTGAAGTGACCTTTAAGAAAATTCATTTCACTGAATAATATACCTCAGAAAAAAGTCATAAATCTCTGTGTTGTGCTAACAACTATGAGAGTATATATTCCTTTTTCTAATTCTAAATTAACCCTTTCACACTTAATTTAACTTGAAGACAGTTTTTCCATTATATCAGATTTATTTTTTCATGCTTTAAAACTTCAAATAGAAGTTTCTAGAAGTGCAAGAATTTCCCTGAAGCATTTGCAGAGCTTCAGAGTGGTATTGGCATAAGATGAAAAATTTTAATCAATTATTGTATTCTCATTGCTCTGGTTGGCACGCGTAAAATTATGGATGTGAGTAGTGGTGAAAGGGCAAATTGGATTTTTAGTAACTAATTTAATAATTTGAAGTAATTCCAGATAGACTCCGTCATGCTAAGCAGTCTGCGATTATTTCTTTGGGGGAAAAAAAAAGTGCATTTTAAAATTATGTTAAAAAAAAAAAGAAAAAAGGAGGTAGTTGTCCTCTGTGTTTTTTAGGGGGGAGGGTGTCTTTGAAAATTCCACCCTCACACATCCCCACCCCCACTTTTTTTCTACAACGACTGTTGCCTGGAAATGCACTTTTTGGCTTGATCCTTTTGACTTGCAAGTAAAGGGTAGGAGGAACTGGGACTTTCTTCATAAGCATGAAATTTGGCAAGATTTGTGATGGTTTTTAGTAGCCAGGTTCAACCTGAGTCTAACTCCACTGTGTCTTCCTAATTGTAGCATTTCACAAGTGCTTTGTCTGTGTGTTGTTGTGACAAAACACAAAGAACTGCGGAAAAAGTATATATTTTCAAAAGAGGAGTTTGTAATTTTTTGTATGAAATAATCTGTATTTATCTGCTGTGCTGAGCAGCTCTTATATTGAAGCAAAAAGCTCCCACCCTCTTTTTGTTTCTGTTAAAATACTTTTTCCATCAAATGAAATAGTATGCCCTGGAGATTAAAAGCTTAAAGGAGAATATTTTTATTAAGTGTGAGGTGGAAGGGATCTGTAAATTTTGAAAGTTAAAGTTTGCACCTGCAGAATTAAGTAAATGCAGAAGAGATGTAAAGCTAAAATAAAGTTTTAAAACTTTCTGAAGTGAGGATATTTGTCTCAGTCTACCCTTTCTAAAGGACATGTAATCTGAGGAGTTTCTCTCTTTTTTTTTCTTTTTTGTCTCTTTTGTAATCTTTACCTGCTGTCCCATCAGTGATGCAATTAGGGGATCTTTCCAGGTGCAGTACTCAATTATGGGATTCAGTGCCTTGTTTATTTATGATGCAAAGTAAGTGTTTTGAAATTAATGAAACAGGGCAGTGTTAACAGCCATAACAGAAAAAAATTAGGTGGCACCTCCAATATTTTTTTTTACTCCAGTTGAGAAAATCAATTCCTATGTAAGATTCTTCCCACAATTATAAAATATGGGTTGGTTGCTTTTTTTAGAGGAAATAGGGGGGGCACATTGAAGGGAAATTATGCATCGGTTGAGCAAGTTTTGCTCCTGGGTCCTGAGTCATTCCTTTTGCTTGCAGTGTCTCAAATTACCTTTTTTTGCTAGTGGCAGATCTTGACTATCTGACAAATGGCACTGTGCTGGACTTGAGTGCGTGTGGAATTGCAACAAAGTGTTGGAGTAGAGAGTTACCAGGCATCTGATACCTAAGTTACTTGTATGTGGACAGCGGAAGTATTAGGATCCAGAAGCTCCCTAACCTCAGAGCCACAAAACTCAGAGGTGCTTGCTGCTCCCACAGTGTTTCCCTGCATGGCTTGGATGTTTTGTCAGCATACACACTTTTTCTTTTGCTGATGTCTAGAATTCACCTCCACTGAGCAGGTGTGTTCATGGTTCTCAGCTGAGCCTTTCTCCAACAGTGCCCCAGTTTTCTGAGTGGCCTGATCCTGCAGATATGATCAACTCATTCCAGTAACCTCATCTTCCCCCTTCTCCCGCCATACAAAGCATAGACAGAGCTACCTTGTATGCTGGAAGTGGTTGTTGCTGTGGTTCACTTACACAGTGCAGTGAGAGGAGTGGCAGACAGCAGCACGTGTACCTCCAGAAGGGTTGTCAAGCACAGGAACAGGCTGCTTAGGGAAGTGGTTGAGTTGCCATCCCTAGAGGTATTTAATAGGCGTGTAGATGTGGTGCTTAGGGACATGGTTTAGTAGTGGACTTTGTGGTGTTATGTTAATGTTCGGATTTGATCTTAAGGGTCTTTTCCAACCTAAATGATTCTATGAAAAACTGTGGTTTTGTGGCTCTTACCTGCTTGTATCTGCCATCTACTTGTTAATCTGCCTATCCTGAGTGAGTAACCAACACTTCACATGCTGGTAATGACAGAAACCACTTGACTTTGTATTTCACGTGTTTGTGTTTTCCAAATTTGAAGTATGCAGGCATACTGAAAACATAAAAAACCTGAAAAAAAAAGCTGGAGATAAACCAACATCTCTCCTTTTTTCTTTCTTTTCTCCGTTACAAACAAGCAACAAGTAGTACAATCTAGTCAAATGGATGCTGAATCAGGAAGAATGCTGTGTTTGTCTTTAATCACTTGGAAGAGCTCTGCAGGATTTCTTGCGTCTTTCAGGGTAAAATAGAATTGCTAATGAACAAAAGCAAAAAATGAGAACCCTTAATCCAAAGGCTGAGTTCATCCAGAAGGATTTTTAAAAGGCATCAAAATGAAATTAAATGTCATGCTGCCTCAACCATAAACTGTGACAATAAATGCAGGAAAACCCCTTTTTTTGTTCCTTACTATTTTTGCAATTAGTTCACTTTTTCTCCTGCAGAGAGGCTGCATGAAAGATCTTGTTATTTGTGGCTCTGGTAAAATATGCTGGCTCAGCCTGCCTGAAGAAACAGAAGCCTTGGCAGGAATGCTAATTATCATGACAATCTAAGCAGTCTAGAGCTTAGGTGTGTGGGGGTTTTATCATAAAGACAAAAAATATTTTCTGGATGGTAGAAGAGCTGATAATATCATAATGACTCAGGAGATTCAATTGCCCTTGCAAAACTTTATTTTTAATTTTGTGTTACCTGTAAGAGGAGGCAGAGAGAACCTTATCGACTTCAGGTATATTTTTATAAAATATTGGTGTTTACATCTTTGTCTATTTTAGTGTATAGTTTTATGCTATAGATACATGAGGGGGCCTAAATCCTTGTGGGTTTTCCACGATGGCATGGAGAAAAACTACCCTCCACTTCCAGCTGTCCCTGCTCCCCAGCCCCATGTACAGTGCCAAATCTGTGCTACGGTGTCTTCACAAGCAAACACAAAAAACCCCCACATTCACACTTCCTATCCATATTAGGGTATAATTATTTCAACCATTACTTCTTGAAAGGTAAGAACTGAAAAGTCAACCCTCCCCATCTCCACCAGAGTGCACCTTGTGTGTGGTAGTAGAGCTAATGATATGGTGCATAAATTCATTGGTTTAAAACTGTCACAGATTGGAGGAGTAAAACCAATCTGCTTGGTCTCATTAAGTGTGGGAAGAAAGTTTACCATGACTGGCATTTGGACACTGTTAAAGAATAGATTTAGGAGTTTGAGTTAGAAAGGAAAAATGACTTGAAGTTATAAAGTCCCAAAGTCCCTGTACAAATAAATTGACCTGTGAACTTTTCTCATTTAAAGAACTGGCCGTTAAAGGATTTTTCCAAAAGTGTTTTGGGTCATTATGACAAAACCAAAGGTATTTGCATTATCACGTCTTAATTGCTTTCCAAGTAATTTCCTTGTTTACGCTGAAGGATTTATTGAAAACTGCATGGGGTTATCACCATGTCAAGGAGCTTTTGTTCTGTTCCAGTAACCCTAAAATCTAAGGGTTCATTGTATAAGCTTCATTTGTAATGTGGAACACTCACTGGTCCCATGAAATCATTACTAAGAATAAACAACGAAAGGCATGTCTTTCTGCACAGTTCTAGAGCGTGAACCGAAAGCCGCGGGTACGAACGAGGAGGAGGAGGACGAGGGAGAACAGTTTGACTTTGATAGTGGAGATGAGATACCAGAAGCAGACAGGCAAGCCATTGTGCCACCTCCTGCTGATCCTGGAAATAACATAGAGCACCAAGAGGCTGATGCCACAGGTAAGTCAGCCTGTCAGTCTGTGCCTCCACTAGGCTAAATAATCAAGACTGATCATAGGATGCCTTTTTTTGACAGTGCAATAAAAATACTGTAAAAAGAGGTTTCCATGGAAATACCATTAAAATGTTCTGAATATTCCTGCCAGTTACAGTCATGGTAGATTTAACAAGGCAAATGGCCATCACATGTAATTCCTGTGAGGTTTCCCATCCAAATGTGACATTCGAAACAATGGATTGGGCACGGTCACAGTCATACTATGGGTAAACATTGTCCTTGCAGATTTTATGGCATATGGATAGCTTGAGATAAGCTGTCTCACAGCTGAGCTTGCTGGTTACTGGTCTTAAGATATGCATAAAACTAAGTGGAGTTTAAATGTATGAATTTTGTTCATAAACAGAAGTCTTACTAAACATTAAAATATTTGTTATAATACTTTTAGATGTTCCCAGTGCTGAGGTGTAGTCTGGAAATTGCTGTATTCTGCTCAAATTGCTAACAGCTGATTTTGTTTACTTTGTTCCAGTTTCCTTTTGTAAGCGGAGTTGTTGTGCTCATGGCAATGAAAGATAATTAACTCTTCAGATGACTATGCAGTTTGACAACCTGAAACTTAAACACCATCTTTCCCTGAAAATTTGTTACTTGCTAATCCATCTGTGAAGCCATGCTTATAGCTCAGAACTATTTGATTGCTTGGGATGCAGTTCTGTAGCTCACTTCAGAGGGGCCTTTGGTTCTGCTGTGTCTCAGCTTGTCTCAAAAAATACCGGGAACTTTACGTAAATGAAAACAATACATTTTCAAAGAGAAAAACTTGGAAAGTTATTTTTCCTTTTCTTAACAGGGCATTTTCAGGACTGTTTGAGGAATGTCCTCCAGTGAACTTTTTCTGTCCTCATGCCTATTCCTAAAATGTTGCTTATATTTGTGTTTATAAAATCCAGATAATCTATAATCCAGATTTTAACCTTCAGGGTTTAAGAGTGTTTTGAGCCATGTGCTTATGGGAAGAAAAAGAGGAGCCTGGATACTTATCAGATACCCTCCTATTCAAGATTTGCAATCCAGTTACTGTTTTTCCATAGGCATCCTTGTAACTCATCTTGTTTTGCTACTGTTCCATTACTCATCTGTAAAATAGGGAAGATGGTACTACTGTTTGGGAATTTTGAGTCATAGATTGTTACTATACAACTTTACTATAGAACTTGTATAGTAAGTGTCAGTGTTTAGGATGCTTGCAAAGAGTAATATTAGAGCAGCTTGAAGAGGTATGAAAAATAAAACATTATATTTTTGTTTGATTTTTCAACTAAAGGAACTAATAATTTAGAAAACAGTGAGAAACTGCAAACATCAGAACCTGCTGTGGAAGGTGCTCCAGCCAAAGTAAATCCCTACTCAGTCATAAATATTTCACCAATCCAAGACAAGGATCCATCCTCATCACCAGAACCAAGTCCTCAAGATGAATGTGCAAGTCCAAACTTGTCTGGTGGATATTCTGTTCCTGTCCCTTGTGGATATGCTGTGCCATCTAACTTACCTTTGATACTGCCAGCGTACTCCAGCCCTGTCATAATTCGCAGTGTTTCTGTAGACGAAGAAGGTATTGTATCTACACACCTAACTTATTTTAAGGGGGATCGTTGTTTAATTTCAGGTACCTGTGTTCTTTTGTTAATGCCTGGATAGCACTCAGCCTGGACAAGTGTGGGAATGATTAATGCTAATTGCTTTTTAATGTAATGAAATAATTTCCAGAGCCATAGTTCAGTGTCCAAGCCAAATGGCTTCTTCTCATACCTTATATTGCTTTCTCTAGGTTCTGGCAAAGTTCTCTCCCTTTTAACTTTTCTGTTATAATAAATAAACACTTCTTCTTGTTTATTTTCCAATCCTTGTGGATTTAGAGTTGCTGTGGGATGTTCTCCCATGATGATTTGATGAATTCTGTTTGTCTTTTAGTACAATTTTAAGACAGAACAGGAAACTAGAAAGGGAAATAACTATGGATTATTATAGAAACAGGAGATCCCCCATTTTGTAACCAGAGTTGGCCAAGCTGACAGTTTGATGTCAAGAGAGTACTAGGAAGAGAAAGCTCTCCATATATTCCCGCCTTTTCCTTTTTCTTGTATTTTGAGTATGTTTTCTCTAGCTAGGCAGCAGTTCTACTATAATTCCAGCCATTCTGCCAGCCTTTGCTTCCTACCATCATAAGGAATACCGTCAAGTAATAGCAAATATTTGTGTGGTTGTTATTACCTATAGAGGAATATGTTTGACAGATTAGAATTAAACACATCAGATAATTGTAATTTCCTCTTAACAACTCATAATAAATGACTTTGTCTTTGAATTATTTAATTTTCAAAAATGGATAGTGTGAAGAAACGTCTAAATGTTTTTAGACACATTTAAGAATAAAGATATTGCATAGAAGTAGATTATTCATTAGCAAGGAACTAGTAAAATCAGTTTTTTATGCTAAATGTGCCATTTGAACCAAACTGGCATGTTATTCCAAGCATTTTCATAATTTTTTTTTTCTACTTGGCAGGTATACAGTCAGCAACTGAAGAATGTCATAATTTTGTAAACTCAGAGGAGCCTCAAAATAGGTGATTGCCAGTTTAGCACGTTTTAATGATTTGTAAAACCTTAATTTCTAGGGAACCTTGCATTTGATAAATATTTTATTTTTCTTGTGTGATGCTTCCATGTTTGTTTTTTTCTTTTTTTTTTTTTTTTCACATTCCTAACTGTAGCTCTGGTTATGTGGCAATATCAGCACTGATTGAGGTATTGTGTGTGTAACCATGCATGACATTTTCAAAGAAACTGGTTTTTAATTTCTATAGAGTGATAGCAATGTCAGCTGCAACAGACTGTTGTAGTGTTCCCTGCTCTACGATATTTTTTCCCTTAATGTCCAAACCACATCTTCCTGTGGGCACTTTAACTATTCCCTCTTCATCTGGCACTGAGAAAACAATGACCCCCGAAAACCCTGAAGCAAATGCAAACAAAGAAAAAATAACCCTGATTCCATCACCTCTATAGTTCTCTTTCAGATAGGTGTAGCTGCAGTTGGATCACCCCATAGCATTCTTTTCAGCAGATTAAGTAAAGCTCCATGTCTTTCCTCTTCTTCTTTGTAAGCCATGTGGTTTAGTCCCTGACTTCAGTTTCTCCCCACCTCTCTAGAAGTAGTTTCAATTTCTCCATAACTTTCTAGAAGGGGAGTGCTGGGAAGCCTAAATTGATCCTGCTGCTGCAGGTTCAGCTTCACCAGCACCAACCAGAGGAGGGTAACAGCCTTGCCAAGCCTGCTGCCTCCTGATGTAGCCCACAATGTTTTTAGTCCTATTTACCATGAAAAAGCATAAGACAGTTTTCTGTGTTCTGATAGAAGAACTCAAAAGTGAAGTGTTTTCAATTTCCTGACTAAAATTTTCAGACTATTAAATAGAATAGATTATTAACCTCCCAACTACATACTGAAGCAATATTTTTGAGTAATCAGCAGCCTTGTAGTGGGAACTGGAAGGCAAGAAGATATTTATTGTTTTGTCTTTGCAGCTGTTTAAAAACATTGTAGTGTAACTTTTAATGCTTTTATTTTATGGTCTTTTTTTTCAAGTGAAGATAATCAGCCCAATAGAGAGGATGATGCCCTGGCCAAATGGGTTGCAGATCCTGCAAATACAGCATGGATGGAAAGTAAGTATCAGTGACCATTAAAGTACAAATATAGAAAAAGGTCAGTATTAAGTTGTGATTCACAGATGTGTGTATCTATATGTACAAATATGTTTTACAGGAATGTCCATGTTTACTTTCATGGTGTTTTTTTCAGATATGTTCCAGAACCAAGTTGTACCAGTTAAAGCATTCAACAGTGTAATAAAATTGTATATTTTAGAATAAAGTTAATGTTCACTTTTCCATGGAGCACCTTTTGGAGTCTGTGGAATGATTCATCACTGTCCTGTGGAAGTCATTTGGCTCCATCAGTGTGTGTATAGAGGAAATATGCTCTAGTTCAGTCTGCTCTGTGGCTGTATATGAAATTGCTCTTCTCATGTAATAATTGGCAAATAAGCACTTGGAGAATGTGGAAGGGAAGGAATTGCTGCTTTTTCTTGGTGTGTGCCATCGGCTCTTGGCTGACAACTGCATTTTAAACCAGAACAGAGACTGTGTAGTTTGAGGAAAGGTAATCCTGCCTGTTCTCAGCTGTTCCTGCAGGTCTGGAGGTTTATCTTATATGTCACTTGAAGTGACTGAAGAATTTGCATCCTTGTTCTGCCTCTTAATGTACTACAATGTATTACAATTACATTATTTAGTTTTGGTTCTTTTTAAAAAGTTCACTACAACTTCTCTACAGCCATTTAGTAAGGCAATGAGCAACCTTTGACAGGCATACTGCTGTAGAAAGGAGAGAGAAATGCTGGCTGTGGAAGTGGGTTTTTGTTTTCAGGCTACCAAAGGTCATCATAAACAGTGCGGATAAAATTGTTTGAAATTTCACAAATACTATGTACTGCTTTGTGCATTGTTGTGTTATTTGAATGATTAGATGTAGTGGAGAATGAGTCATATCTCCATTGTGTTCATATGTTCCGGTATAACCAAAATTCTTTAGAATAGAATAGAATATTTCTGTTGGAGGGGACCTACAGCATTTCAACTGCCTGACAATTTCAGAGCTGACAAAAAGCTAAAGCATGTTAAGGACTTTGTCCAAATGCCTCCTAAGCACTGTTAGTTCAATTCAAATTTAAGGAAGTTTCTAATTTGTTTTTTTTTCTGTTTTGATTTTAGATCCGGATGAGGTAATTTACGATGATGTGCCAAGAGAAGATTCAGAGTCTGAACCAGGTTTGAGGTCTTTGTAATACAGCTCATGTTGAAAGCAGTGTAATATAGAATTATGTGAATGTATACTGAACAGACATGTTCATTAAGTACCTAAAATATATGTAAATGGAATTAACATTTTGTCAATAATTGGTAGGTCTTGCAAAGTTTGGAATTAAACTGACACTTAAAAGACGTTATCTCAGCAGATCTCCTACTCTTCTCTTCTCAGAAGCTGAATTGTGCTTTATTGTATAGATACTGTCCCAAATACTGGACTATTCCACATATTAGAGAATTATTTGATTGGGTGTTGTAGCTATAGGACCTAAACAAGGCAAGGTAGGTAGGAAAAGGGTGTTTTAAATGCTTAAATGATGTATGATGATGCATCATCATGGCTATAGAAAGGACTGCTTTTTTCTTGTAAGTCCCCTTTAGCATAAAAATGCCTGATAGATAAAAGAGGAGATTCAGAGCGGCTGATTACCATCCTGACTGTGACTCTACACAAATGCTTTATTTCAGCCTTGGAGTTGTCTGCTCCTGATTGTGTGACCATGTTTGGAGGGGTCAGAATAGATCTCAAAGTAATTGCTGGAGCCAAGATTTTACCTTTACTGGGACTGATGGAACTAGATCTCAAGAAGCTTATTTCAATGAGTTCTTGCTCAGATTTGTTGTACAGTTTTTGATTATAGTGAAGACTGCTTAAAAATTGGTTGCTACTAACTAATTTTGTGTTCGAGTGGATTGGCTCATTAGGCACTCAGTATCTACTCATCATAGCTCTCAGGGTGTAGGTGTTTGATACTGAAGTTGTTAATGACTCAAGAAAACACTTAAGCTTTCTTATGTGAAAACCATATTAATATTTAAGGCTGTAATATTTTAATTCCTTGTCCTTAGTGGTGTTCAGGTAAGATGTTTTACAAATTATTACTGAATTCTTTTCATTTATTATTGGAAAGTTTTGTGTTACATTCATGACTTGAATATTTATATTACTGGAAGGTCCCTTAGTGGACTCGTAGTGCTACCCTTAGCAGGGACATCTTTGCACTGTTGCTGCTCAGTCAGGAAACACTTGCACCAGGCCCAGGAGGCTGAGCTGGGTAGGTTATGGAACAAAGCTCTGCTGAGCATCTCAGTCAGAATTTTCAACTTAGCGCAGAAGACATTAATAAAATTTCAGCTTTCATTTTGTCTCCAAAGACATTGAAAGATTTTGAGAAAATAAGTAGTAAGGGAAGTTTCATCTTTGTACATTCATGATCTTGGTGTTTATTATTTGTTTATTTTGTCAGGGAGGCACAACTATTCAAAACAAGTTTCAGTCAGAGCTCAGGTTACATTAGCACATGGACAAGATAAGTTCACCAAATCATTGGGTAAATCCTGCCCCAATACTGACAACACAGAAGTTAGACTTGTATAAGTCTTGACTTTGACTTACTATGGTGATTCTTTTAAATTATTCATTATGCTAGATTACCACTAAGATATCTTCTTAACCCCCAAATCTTCGTTCGCGAAGCCCAGCCATGATCTTCTTAACTAAGTATATGCTAAGGACAGTCTTGATATGCATGGAGGCTTAAAAAAAATTAAAATCTGAATCTTCCAAATAAGAGTAGAATCCTCTGTGTGCAGAATTTAATTAATGTTGATATTAAAATATTGGCCAAAATGTAGTTTTTAAATCACAGAATCCAGGGTTTTATATGGATATGTGAAACATGTCAACTTTTCTTTTGAGTACATATTTTTTCTGTATTTAAATGAAAGTTCAATCTTAAAATGAAAACACAGCTTTTGTTTCCTGAATACTGCATCATATCCTCTAACAATAGTGAATCCTGGCAGAAGTGTCCACACTTCTCTACTTGTAATGACAAATGATACTGCACATGAAGCACTTACCTGCTTGCTGATAAGCAATTGGCACTAAATTTTCCATTTTATTTTGAGTCAGTTTATTGTACTTGACATATGTGCTAGTGAGAAGACCCGTGTCTTTAACAGAAGTACTTTGGTCAGCCTTTGCAATATAGTTTTCCATATCTTGAAAAGGTTAAAACTTCAAGTTCTTAGAGTAGATTATGAGTGAGGTAACCCACAGATATGGGTTCTAGTGACTGGTGGAATTGCAAGAGTCATAAAATATCATGTTTCTTGCTACTTTGGTCTGATCTGTTCTGCTTGAAGTAGTGTTTTTGTTTGATTCTTGCTATGTTTTAGCATTTGCTGTTTGAGCTGATGATGATGTTCCAAGGGACAAATGGCAAGCTTGCAAATGGAAAGATGATGCTTCTTAGTGCAAATGTGTGTTCATAGCTACAGTTCAAACTTCCTTTGAAGTTCTTCTAAAATGTGTTGTGGGATTTGGACATAACAGTGATGTTTGAATAGTGCATGCTTTTAAAAGGATTGTGGTGTATACCCTTAACATTGTCCTCTTTTAGTACTCTGTTTCAACAAAGACAACCCACTTTGGCTGTTTGAATATTGGTTTTAATTCAGAATTTTTCATGTGCATACAAAAGTCTGTACAGTTCTTTATGGTACATCCTGAACAAGTGTTTCAGTGTTGAAACAAACATAAATTTCAGTGTAGCATTTTTTATTTTGATTTAATTCTTGCAGAGGAAATGATTTATGATGATGTTGAAAATGGTGATGATGGTGGAAACAGCTCACTGGAATATGGTTGGAGTTCGAGTGAGTTTGAAAGCTATGAAGAACAGAGTGATTCTGAGTGTAAAAATGGAATTCCCAGCTCCTTCTTGCGAGGCAACCACAAGAGACATGTATGTATCTCACAGTGCTGCTCAATCGTTGAGGTTATCCTGGTTTCCAACATTTGTAATTCTTACCTGTATTTCCCCTTTCCTCAATTCATTTTCAAATAGCAATAAGCATCTTTTGAAAGGAGATGTGAATTAGTGTGGAAGTGACAGTACACAACAAAATGTAACAGGGAAATGAAAAGATGAAAATATTTAACAGAAGCTTCTTACAAAAGAGGAAAAAACTCATATTGGATAAAAGTGAAACTAAAAATGAGATTATTTTTGCTTGTAGATGGTTACTCACCATTTCTTCTATTCCAGTTACTGGATTAGTGTAAGTGGTAAATAAGTGTGGAAAATAATGTGAAGGACAAATGGATAAAAGCCTGACAAGAATTGAAGGTTTGGGATCTTTAGGTGCTCTAATGTTGCAGAACTGTTCACCAGTGTTCCCTACCTTTCTGTCTTAGATCTGTATCACTTTGATTGTTTGAAGGTGACTGAGCTTAAAAAAACTCGAAAATTAAGGATTTTTGTAGTCAAAGATAACTCTGTACCATTTATTAAGGAGAGAAGAGAGGTGGCATGATTAAAATGATCCATCTATGACAGTTCCCTGGTCAAGTATCTTTGGCTACATCTGTTCTCCAGGAGGCAGGAAGACACAGGGGACATGGGTGTCTGCCCTTGCTACACCTCTTCTGTTGCACACTGGGAGGACCCCCGGATTCCTGCACTCTTGCTGCCTTGGCTCCTCTCCTTCTGCCCTTGTGTGCCCTCTCTGTGAGAGGAAAGTCTTCCCTGGCACCTGGGCAGCCTCCTGCTCCCTGCCCTGAGTGCTTGGAGGATGGAGTGTGGGGTGCAGAGGGGACAAGCAGGGCTGGGCTCGGTGCCCAGCAAAACCTAGCTGGGCTTGGGTCCCTGCAAAACCCTCAGGGCTCCCCCGTGTGTGCTGAATAGGGACAGATCCCCAAGAGCCACTCCACAACTGTGCAGTGTGAGCTGTGTCAGCATCCCACGGCTGGAAAGTGTAGGGGTTGTGGACAGGGTGTTATTTCATGGGACCCTTATTTTTATATTGCAGACTTCTTATCTTGGTCAGAATAAAAGCCTTGCTGTCTGTATTTCCCTCCAGCACATATTATCTGTACTCCCCTCACCTCTGTCCTTGCTACTCGCTCTTTGGAAATCAGGGAGTGAGCAATTAACTGCAAGACTTGAGCCCACCCAAATCTGCTCTTTGTAAGCTGAGTGCTCATCCTCTGTTTTTATCTTGGTTTTGTTCTGACTAGAACAAGATTAAGCTACTACAGCTCTTTGTTTCTGGGGAGTTTTTTTGACAAGACTGAAGAAACTGAGTTTGGTAATTTTTTTATTTTAAATACCTTGGAAGAGACTAAGAAATCACTTTGCATGTGAGTGTATAAGTCTTAACATGGTTGCTGGCTTGTTCTTTTTTTAAAAATCTTTTCCTGTTATCTGTAGCTTCAGCTTTGGCATCAGTCATAAGAATATATTTACACATGTGTACAAAGCTAGGTTTAAAACCATTTTTTTTAAAACAGTTAAAAGTATACTTGATCTGTCACAGGAAACTGTTGGCAGTGGCTGGGCATGATAGTGCCAGGATCAGGCACAAAGTGTCTGAGCAAGAGACTGAAGAGTGGTGGGAGGACAAAGGTGTGCTCCTGGGTACTGCCCTTCCACTGGCTTTTTCAGGCCTGTGACAAAAGGTTTTGGAGATTGCCTTGTGAGGATGGGCATGAGGAGCCTGGGGACACTTTAGTTAGTGGATGGAGAAGTCAGAGAGGTTCCCTGATGGTTTACTGGGAGGTGGAGAAATCAGGAAACTAGAGGTTTTTGGAAGAGAATGAAGAAAGACAGAAACTTTAGGATTGCTGAAAAAAATCCTAAAAACTAAAAAAACCCAATATATTCACAGCACATTGCATTCTCTAGCCTTTCAGAACCAGTGAGGGACTTGCCTTATTATTTTTTGTGTTGGTTGAAAAATACGGAGATGGGATTTTTAATTTTAAGTGCTGGTATGACTTCCCTCAAAGTCACTTTTTCATTATGATTCTTATTATTTTAGTTATTTACTAATTTATTTTAAGATGGGAAGGTTTTTGTGCTATTAAATATTTCTAGTCTGTGAACCAGATACTATTCTTCATTATACTGTTGTAATGCCAGAATCTTCATGTCAGATGTAATTGCATCCTGACCCAATCTCGTGGAGCTACGTGCTGGACCCGTCCCTTTGTTTTCAATTCAGTGTCCTTGTCTTTCCTGAGGCTTTGATCTCTTGCCAAATAACTCTGTTGACATCAGGCTGATGGGTTTTCCATTGGACTTCTATTATAGAGCACACCAAATATTTTCCTTTTTTCCTTTCCTGGTTGCATTTTAATCTTTTTTATCTAGCTTTCTCAAAATGATTAACAAACGTTGATTAGTGTTCCAGAGAAGCCAATGGATATATTCATGTACGAGATGGTTACGCCCATGGTCATACAATGAGGCTATGGTAGATGCATGTGAAAATTACAAGACCGTGCATCCTGTTAGTGTTTCCTTACTTGACTCAGTGCATTGTCAAGTCTCCACCTTCCCAGGTGCCAGCAGGCTCCACAGGTTCTTCGGTCTCTGAGAATTCTTCCAATTTACTGTTTTGAAGGATAGTCCAAAACACAATGGCTAGGGTTTGTGCTTCAGTGAATAATGCTCATGGTTAAAGCTGATGCATTGTTTCCGTGCACTTGTTAAGAGATACACACGATATAATTAATATATATAACAATATAGTTAGCTTAGCCTGAGTGTCTTTGCCCCTGTCTTTACATAGTTGCCAGCATAGCAGAAAAGCACCTGTCTGAGTTCAGCAACGCACAGGAGCGATGGTCCGTTTGTCAGACTGGAGCTTCCCTGAGTGATAGATTTCCCTTGGCTGTCTGTGTATCAGTAGGTGGATGGGCAACATGCATGATTTATGTGAGCGCTTTAGCATGAAGTTTGCACTACAGCTTTTTGAAAAGATTGTGTCTTTTTATACACTTTAGCTTTCTCATGACCTAACGCGTTTAAAGGAGCATTATGAAAAAAAGATGAAAGATTTGATGGCAAACACTGTGGGAGCAGTAGAGATTCAGCAACTAAAGCAAAAACATGAGCTGAAGGTAGCGTAGTTGACTTTTGTAACTAGCTACATTTAAATAATTGCTTTTCCAACACAGACAATGTTGTCTTTTAATAATAACTTGAAGATGTGAACAATAATTTGTATGAAAGGAATTATAAATTGTACTGAATTGTTAATATGCAGTCTTAAATTAAAGACTATAAAATTGCTATATTCTTAAAAGGACCTTTTCTCATGCTTATTTTTAATGTTTACAGAAGATCGCAAAAGATAAGATAGGGCATTGTCTTTCCCTGCTGACTAGTGCCCTTGTCTCAGAGTGTACAACCCCAGTGCCTCTCTGAGATCCAGATGAGCTCCATGGGTCTAGCCTGACCCTCGCTCTCCAACCACATGGAATCAAATTGTGGGAGTCAGAATCTCCCAGCTCTCCATTCTGAATGGAGCCACTATGAAAAGACTGGGTTTTTTTTAAAAGCTTCATCTCAAACTGTGAAATTGCCTGATTGCATCAAGACAGCTTTGTTTGTGTTCTGACAGTAGTGGTGATTTTTTGCTGTGGTGGCATTTTGGAAAAGCAAAAGTACAAAGCAGATTTTTAACAAGCATTTTCTAGCAAAACAACACTTCAGTGACTTGTTTTTTTGTTTTTGCATGAAATTAAATTAGGTTCTAGTAGTGTACTGTAAGATTACGCAATTCTTAGATAAATCAACTTATTTCTTCAATTAATGTGATTATTAGTTGTAACATTTTCTGCGTAACAGTGTTTATTTAAGAATACAGTTAATATAGAACCTAGTATTGAGCATTATCTTTTGATCAGAAATACCTTGAAAGTGTTATTGGGACATGGGAAGATGGACAAGACCCCTGGGCGTTAATGACTTACGAGTAGTAGGTATTTGTTACATAACGTAAGTTGAGCATTTGAGACTATTTTGAGTTCACAGGTTTGCTGCGGAAGGGTTCTTAAGCATTTCTATTTTACACTTGCATACAGTATTGCCATGAAATAAGTCCCTGTCTCCAGGTTTTATTTTGTTAAGAAATACAGATGCTCAGACCTGAGCTTTGATGGTTCTGTCTACGCATTATATATTCCTTTGAATTTGGACTGTATTTATAGTCTAAACTACTTGACAGTGGTGTTCTTAAAGATATTTTGATCAAAATATTCTGTATCATGTGCAGGCTCAAATGTGTTCCTATTATTCACTGAACATGTAGACTGTATTTTTTATCTTACAGATGCAAAAGCTTATGAGAGCTGCTAGAGAAGGTACAAAAGATGGACTTGAAAAGACAAAAGCAGCTGTGAAGAAGGGTCGTAGCTTCATTAGAACAAAATCTTTCATTTCTCAAGGTATATGCCAATTATAGTGTGTCTCTTTGTTACTCTCTCCGGTAATTTCTGATAAAGAAAATGAATGGCCTAGCAGATTTTTGTACTAGGAGCTGAGAACTAGATGCGAGAAATCAGATTTTTATAAAAATGTCTGGTATAATATGATGATAGGTAACAGTTTGGTCAATACATCTTGTGTTGTTTTACATTTGGAGCAAGAACCTGAGTGACTTGAGAAACCTGAGGACCATAGAGAAGGGTCAACTTAAACACAACAAAAAATCCCACCAAACAGTGTCAGAGATGCTGTCTTGGTATTGGTAGTTTGGAGTATGGAAATTATGTTAAGTTACTGTCATGGTTTAACTCCAGCCATCAATCAAGCCTCACACAGCTACTTGTTTACTCCCTCACCAATAGTATTGGGGAGAGAACTGAAAGGGTGAAAGCTGGAAAACTTGTGGGTTGAGATTAAAAGAGTTTAACAGGGAAAGCAAAGCAAAACAAGGAATTAGTTCACTGCTTCCCATGTGCAGGCAGGTGTTCAGCCATCTCCAGGAGAGCAGGGCCCCATCATGCATAACCATTACTTGGGAAGACAAACACCATCACTCCAAAGGCCTCCCCCTTCTTTCTTCTTCCCCCAACTTTATGTACTGAACATGATGTCATATGGTCTGGAATATTCCTTTGGTCAGTTTGGGTCACCTGTCCTGGCCGTATCTCCTCCCATCCTCCCACACACCCTTTATTGTCTCTTGCCAGCGTGGCAGTACAAAAAGCAGAAAAGGCCTTGACTTGGTGTAAGCCCTGCTCAGCAATAACAAAAACATCTCTATATTATCAACCCTGTGTTCAGCAAAAATCCAAAACACAGCCCCATACCAGCCACTGTGAAGACAATTCTATGACAGCCAAAACCAGCCCAGTTACTAAGTCTGTTCGGTTCTCTCCATCAAATAACTCCTGAATGTCAGGAAAATAAGCTGTTAGGACATGGTTTTCAGTGGAGGGATAGCTAACTTTTTAAAAAGTTCATTATTATCAAGGAATAACTCTGTGCTTAAGACAATTCTTTATCAGTTTGATTTTTGATGAAAACTGAATTTGGATTGGGAAAACAGAAAGTGGTCTAAAATCAAAGCGAGAAGTATTCATGTCCTTTCTGTAATTAAGAGCAAGTGACAGCCCTTTGAGCCTCAGAAGCAGCTGTCCACAGGTAATTTTTTCAAAAGGCAGGGGGTAGTAAAAGAAACTAATTTCTTCTTCAAGATAAGTCTGAGAGGTAGTATGTCTTTCTGCTCAGGTTTCTGCCCAAATAATTGAATGGTAGTAACTTCAGAGCTTATAAAACTACAGTTTTAGGAAGCTAAAACCAGAAGACGGGAACAAGACATTTTTAGTGAGTGAGCTAACATAAAGCTGCGTCCTATCTGTAAGGACCAGCACAGACCTTACATCCCTGTCATGGCCTCTAACTGCTTCTGAACTTACTTAATTCAGAACTCAGATAGAATATAGACAGGTGTTTGCACAAACTTTAGTGATCAAAAATGTATCCTCAACTTCTTGCAGTTGCACAGACAAAAATGATCTACAGAGCAGTGTTACAGTGGACCTAGCACTTCTTACATTTCTAGAGTTTAGGTGGCAGACACAGTGTATCTGTGAGTAATGGTTTAATCATATAACCACTTACCAGCAGGGAACTAGGGACAAATTTGTTGAATGAACTGATAAATTTCAGCCATCAGATCTGCTTCCCTTACTTCCCTTTTTGTTCTATGACACAGTTTCTCATACTGTCTTTCTCTCTCCTTTCCTCATGTCTGCTTGTTTGTCTGGCTGTGTACTGCCACCTATCACTGCGCTTTGGTGGTGCTTTTTTGGTAAAATTTGTTCCTACAGAGCAGTGCAGAATCCCTTACTCTTGTTTCTGATGAAAGCAAACATTGGTAAATCTGGCTACTTACTTTAGTCCAGTTATGAAAGGGTGTATGGAACATTTTTAGCTGGATCATAATATGGGTGTGTTTAATTTCTTCCCAAAGTTCACTTTGAAAGGGCTGGCTCTGAAGCTGCAGTGCTTTAACCCTAGTTGTCATGTTCTGCACTCTGCACAGCCCTGTTCTGGCTGTGAGGAGGGAGTAGAGATCAAGCAAAAGATACAAAGGCTTGCTGTGTGGATTTTAAGATGCCTTTGAAAGATGTTCTGTACTAGAGCACATATTGGTGGTGGTATTTATATGATTTCACAGATGACACAGAAGTGCTGGGAAATTTATTTGGTAAGTGAACATGTATAACTTCTGTGTTTGGATGATAGAATCTTTGCTTTCTTTGGTTTTGCTTGTTTTTTCCCTTCTTTCAATCCACATGTTGTAGAAGTTGACATTTTGGTTATTTAATTGTTTGTAGATCATAGATCATCATGTCTGGAAGAAGAAGAGCTAAATTTATTTATTGATGTGGACTGTATGCATACAGAAGCAATTATGACTCCTATGCCTGAAGGATTATCACAGCAACAGGTAATAGGCTTTGGGAAATACGGTGCTTTGCCTCTTTTTCCTCCTCTTCTCTCTACATCAATGGCTCTTAGGTGCCTCTGCTCTTCAAACATATTGACATTTTACTTAAGTGGACATCTGATTCAGAACTAAATAAGATTTTTTTGAAAATTGGTATGCGTGCATGTAAGTTGCATCAGTCCTGAATTCAGCCATAGATGCAAAATGCTGTTATGCATTTTAAAATTATCTATAATAACTCTACTGTTTCACTACTTGAACACTTACCCTAAATGTGATGGTTTTGAGTGCAAAAGAAGAGAGTTAAAGTAGTTTTACTGAGTCAGAAGACATGTCTCCAGGTGCTGTAGGATTTCCATTTTAAAAGTAGAGAATATCCTAAATGCTCTCTGAATCTTAAGGTTTTTCTTAGTTGAAAAAAACTTGTCCCTAGTAAAGTCATGTTTGGAGAAGAATATATTTTGCTGTTCTCCACCTCAAACTGTATAGTCACTGTGGAAACCACTTCAAAAACACTGAAATCAATGTCAGTTAGAAATTTTGGCTGAAAATAAATCCAGTGGATTCATGTTACTGTATTGTTATGGCATGTAGTAACTATATGAGAGTTTTTAACTTTTTGTGGTGTCGAGTCATGAGTTAGTTGGTCAGAACTTTCAGAAAATGAGCAAAAAACCAAATTAAGGGGCAGTTGAGGAGAGCGATATATGTTTTCTGGTTTGTTTGGTGAGGTTTACTTTTCTTGTGCATTTAGCACAGTGAAGTGCTAATCTTGCTAATGCAACTACCGAATGTGAGATTTCAGCATCAGTCTGAATGCTGTCTTTTCCTTCTTTCCAAATAGGAATTTCAGTTTCACTGGGATTTTTTTGTAGGTAATTAAGAATAAATTTACTCTCCTTTCCAGAAAAACAAAAGTGCTTCTAGTTTGGAAAAAAAACAGTAATATTTGCAGAAGTCGTGATATATGTTGCTTATCTACCAATGAGGAGCTGTCCAAGTGGGTAGGAATGGAGTTAGGAAAGCCAAAGCTCAGCTGAAGCTGGTGAGGTGTGAGAGACAACACTGAAAGATTTCTTATATATGCACTGTGCAATAAAAGGAAGCTGAGAAAAAGATGAGTAAACTGCTTAGTGAGGCAGGGTCCTGGTGAGAAAGGGTCAAAGGCTGAGGTATTCTGTGCCACTTTTACCTCAGCTTTTACTGGTGAGGTTTGTCCTCAGGACTCAGCCCATGAGACTAGAGGCAAGTCCTGCTGGGGTGAAGCCTAATCTGCAGTTGGGGGGACCAAGGCCATAGAGTTATCTGTGGGATCAGATGGGATGGATTCAAGGGTGCTGAATTCAAGGGTAATGTCTTTCTCAGTCATCTGACATCACAGTGATCAGAAGACTGGGAAAAAGTAAGGGTCATACTCTGACCAACAAGAAGGAAGACCAAGTCCATCACCTCAGTCCCAGGGAAGGTGATGGAGCAAATGCTCTTGGGAGCTATGTCTATGTTTGGTAGGACAGGAGTGTGAGTGGGAACGGTCAGCACAGATAGACCAGACTTGAGCCCCTTTGATGTGACTGGCTTGTGGGCAGAGGGAAGCAGGGGATATCACTTACCTCTGCTTTAGCAGGGCTTTTGGCAATCTCCTGGAGTACCCTTGTACCCTAGGTGAGATACAGTTTGTATGGGTGGACTGGAAGGTGGGAGGAAAACAGGTGAGGATGCCATGCTCAAAGGTTGTAGTCCATGCTACCAAGTCCAGCGGGTGGTCAGTGTTAGTTGTGTCTCTCAGGAGTGGATACAGACCTGTGGTGTTTAATGCCTGTGTTAGTAATCCAGATGTCAGCTGCAGTGCACATCTGGAGGGACACCAAACTGGTGAGGTGCAGCAGGCCATGTGTGGGAGGGGGGCTGCTGGTCGGAAGGGCTCTGGTGGGCTGGGATGGACAGAAACACTGGAGCAGCTCAGTGGAGGCCAGCACAAGTCCTGGCTGTGGGAGGGGGTCACAGCCCTAGGCACCCTGGGAAGGGAGGGCCAGTGCCAGGACCCCCTTCCCGCCCTGCTTCCCTGTAGCAGTGGAGCTGCTCTATGGATGTGCTGGCTTCAAACAGCAGGTGGCATGATGGCTTCTGTTTAAATCCTGGTGCCAGTAAATACTGTCTGGAGTTGGGTCTCATGTCTATTGCAATAATTTAGAGGCAGTATTAAATATCCATTTGTGTATTATAGAGCTTGAAATTTTTATCTCTACAGATGTTTATTCAGTTCAGAAGAATGAACTGTGACTAAAAGTAGAGTTAGTATCTGTCACCAGAGCAGCCAATACATTATATCAAATAAGACAATGCTAAATCCATTATAAACACAGATTATACACATCTAATTTTACTCTATATATCTTTGGGCAAAGCCTCAGATAATTTTGAAGTCCGCCTTTGAAATACCAGTACTTGAAAGAAAATTCTTATTTAACCTGCAATTAATAAAGCAAAATACAAGTGTGGAGAATTAAAGGCAGCCATGGTGGAGAAGGTGGGAGGCTGTGGGGTTCAGGAACAGAGAGAGAAGCAAGCCTGAGATTTGAGTTTCATTTAGGCTAGCTTAAAATAGTAAAAGAAGTACTTTTGCCTTCTCTCGTAGTTGTGGAAAGTGGCTTGATCTTACCCTTGTGCTGTCTTCTCCCTCAGAGTCCCACTTTTGAAAGCTGTGGAATGAGCTGGATTAGGAAATGGATTTGGGTAAAACCAAATCCATATAACCAGCAAGAAATCTAATCAATGACAGTAAGAAGTTTAAATTTTAAACCAGATCAGTTTCCCAGTCCTTCCTGTCCTGTCATGTCACCCAGACGTGCATACAAAGTGCGTTTCAGCTGAATTACAGAAGCAGAAAGTGGAGAAGGAGGTGTGATAAATAGCCTGTAATTTGTAAACATGAAATATGGTAGCATTTCCTGAAACTCTTAAAATGTCAATTAATGTAGATATAGATGAGGTGGGGTTATCACTTATATATGATAATGCCCAAAAGAGAACGCATGACTTACTTGGATACTTTCTTAATACAGGTACATTTTATATAGCCTTACCTTAAAAAGGCAATTAATATTTGCTTGTTTGTCCTTCATGTTACTCCTAATAAATTTATAAAACATATTAAAAAAAAAAAAGAAGACTGATTTTTGAAAACTGGTTACTGTTTTATCACAGCAATATACTGAAGTAGCCAACATTAACCTGTGCCTATGATTATTTCCATTAATGTCTACATTTATACGTCTAAAGGTCATAGGATCATAGAATATTCTGAGTTGAAAGGGATGTACAAGGATCATCAAAGTCCAAGTCCCGGCCCTGCACAGGACAGCCCAAAGAATTGCACCGTGTACCTGAGAGCATTGTCTAAATGCTGAACTTAAAACACAAGTTTCAAAAGTAAAGCTTGGAATTGCAACAGTCAGAAAAAAATCATAGATACAATAATTCTTGTGTTCTTTAAAATAAATAGTTTTAGAATAATACTATAATTACTTTTGAAGGGTATAGTATTCTTGTATTGCAATTCCAGTATTGAAATTGCTTAGTATTTTTGTGTTTTATTGATGTGAGAATTTTATCATCACCATTTCTAGCTGTGATGACGGTGCTACCTGATTAGAGATTTGACAAAACTTTGTTGTTTTAACAGGTTGTCAGAAGGTATATTTTAGGCTCTGTAGTTGACAGTGAGAAGAATTACGTGGATGCCCTTAAAAGAATCCTGGAGGTACCTTAATATCCTTTGCATTTTTTTAACTTGGAAAATTTGAACAATAATCACATCCTTAAAGAATCTGTCATATGACTTGCACAGATTTTGCTACAGATGCTTCATGCCAAATGTTCAGTGATTTTGCGTGTGTACTGTTAAATAATTTGGTTTTTTTGCTTGTAGAAGTCCATTTTTTTTGTTTGTTTAAATCTATTTACTTTTTTTTCCCCCACAGCAATATGAGAAACCCCTTTCAGATATGGAACCAAAATTATTGAGTGAAAGAAAACTTAAAATGGTCTTTTATCGAATTAAGGAAATTCTTCAGTGCCATTCGATGTTTCAGATTGCGCTGGCGAGTCGTGTGTCTGAGTGGGACTCTGTTGAAATGATCGGTGATGTCTTTGTTGCTTCAGTAAGCAAATGTGTCAGAACAGATAATCTGTTTTTATTTTAGTTATTTTATTCCATCTCCACATCTTTTTTTCTAACTTGACTACTTTATTACCGTATTCACCAATGCCTGTGGCAACTGCATCCTGGTAAGGAAACTGACACCAAATGTCTTTGGCTTGGTTGGTAGATGAGAAAGGATTGTGGGTAAAATTTTCAGGCTTTGATCAAGCTTTCAGACATTTAAGTAAATAGTTTCTTTTTCTGAGAAATTAGAGATTCATAAACCCACCAAAATTAAAGTGCAATTGAGGCTCAGCATCTCTTACAAAGTAGATAGTCATACATAGTAGTCTGTGAGTGGAAAAAAGCCACTGTAGATGATGTCCTGAATTCCTGAGGTCTAACCGAGCCTGTGGCACAGGTAAAGAGTATTTGTAAAACATGCCATTCTGAAGTCCATTCAGTAAAAGACTGAACTACTTACTGTTTTAAGGTAGAGAAAACAAGTAGTGGCCTTGGTTGGTAGAAGGACATTATTCCCAGTGTGAAGGTGATGGGCAATGATCTTACCATTCATATAACTGTTTGCAGGCCACACAATTTGTCTGCTTTCTTGGTAAGTCCTGACTAGCTGAGGTTAGCACAGGAAGGCCCTGGGACTTCCCCGAGTCACCTAGTCTGGAAGACAGACAACAGTGAATTGATCAGGGGATCCCAGCTACCACTTTGAATCTCAGAGGATGCCCTTTGATTGCCCATAGTCCTCAGGTTGTGCCCTAGTGTTGTGGCCAAGATGAAGCAATTTCTGTAAATACATATCTTGTAATTCACAGCTCTTACATCTGTATGTTTCCAACCCGTCTTCTACAGAAAGATTATTTTGGGTATCACCAGTATTTCTGTAGATCCAACACTAGGAGAAGCAAAGATCTTAGGTCCAGTCAAGGTGAATCCTTAATGGTCAGATAGCTATGCTTTCAGAGGTCTTTTGTATTTATAGTTAAGGCTTACCCTTTTGTCTTTCCAGTTTTCTAAATCTATGGTGTTGGATGCATACAGCGAATATGTGAACAACTTCAGTACAGCAGTAGGGATTCTCAAGAAATCATGTGCCACCAAACCTGCCTTTTTAGACTTCTTAAAGGTGAGTTCATTCAATTGTAAAACTGCTGTGCATATGTATAAATAAGAAAGTATAAGTTATAAGTAAGGTATAAGTATACAGCTGGACTTGAGTTTATGTTTTATGGGTTTGACACAAGAAATCCATTAAATTCACTTCCACTACTGTGTTTTCAGGATAATAACATTAGATCTAGGAGGTATTCTGAAGTACAGAGTAGTTTTGCAGTTGTTCAAATCAGTTTATTGGTGTTTGCATTCCTGTGCTTGGTAAAATATTGGGATTCTTCTATATCTGCTGAGCTTCAAATAATAGTTCAACATATGAAACCTTTTTTTATTTGGGATTTATTTTATTTCTAATTTCTTTATTGTATTGTGAAGAGTGTAGTGCAACTATATTTTTGTTCCACAACACTTCCCTAGTATTTTGAAAATCATGTTTCTGATTTGGGGTTGAAATTCATAATTTTTGTGCAGAATGCATACTACCCTGATGCATGTACTGCTTGTAACAATGTGTATAGAGAGCCTGGTACATGCAGTTGAAGTGCTGTGAATCCCTAGGGTTGATACCTTACGGAGAGTACACAGAATCCATTGAAAGGCTTTTAGGTTGTCTGTGACATTGCTGAGAGCCTGAAAGCTCTGTGTGTCCCATTCCCTGAGAGTCATGGATTGAGTTGTACCTCTCAAAGCTGTTGCCCTGTCAGTTCCATTGCAATGGTCCACTGAAATTGGGTACCCTAGGCAAACGAGAGCAGTACTTAGGTTGCCTAGAGAAGGGTGGCAGGGGTTTGTCTTCAGATTTTAAAAATAACTAACAACTTTTTGGAGTGTGGCCAACACTGTGCAGGATGATACTCTGGCAGCCTTAGGCACAACGAAGTTGAGACTCTAGTGCGTGTAGTCACTTCATACTTCTCACATGGTTAAAAGCCCGTTGTTGCAATAGAGACATAACCTGCACCTCTCATCACTGCTTGTCAGTGCCACTCTGGTGCTTCTGGGAGCTGGGGACTCATGGCCAAACTGTGGTGACAGAAGACATTTTTGTACCTTCCTTTTTTTGTTTGCCCACCAGCAGTGAAGGCCAGAATCTTCACTGCTGTTTGGGCAAAAGAATATGTTTGTGGATACAATTATGGAAATAAATTCTTGTGAAACTGATAGCTGTAGCAATAAAGAGAAATTTAAGCACCACACCAGTTTAATATTGTTTAGGTTTGCTTTGGTTTTAATATTGAGTATTTTGTCTACTGTTCTTATTTTGTGTCAGCTTTGATTCTGGTCAAAGTATTTCTAAATGTCTTATACAAACAAGGCTTTCCTATACATGCAAATGAAATTTGTTTGGTTTTATCTGCCATTGCTGATAACTAAAGTAATGGATTCTTACATTTTTATTTCTAAACATAAATCAATGTTCTTTTCCTTAGTTTCTTTTAATAAAGAAGATGAAAATCTCTGTTTGCATAGCACTGAGATTATGAAGTTTTCCTTAGATTTTCTTTTAAAACCCATTGGTAAAAACACATAGGTAGTTAGAGATTTATAGTCTCTTAGCCCCAAGGAACAGAACAGCAATAGTAAATTATGAACTATAAATCAACAGATCACTTAAGTTTTTTACATTTAAGTCAGATGTTTCAGTGCACTGCTTATGTAAGAAACATGACTGTGCTCTACTGATACATACATGGGTGCTGCATTGCTGGTGTGTCTTTAGCTCAGCTGTATTTATTTAAGGAGGAGATTTCAGTTCATTGACAGGCCATTATTTTAATAGTGCTGGGGGTTTTTTTAAGATTTAATATTTTAAAATTAAATCTTTGCAGTAGATGGAATTTTTACAGCCCTACTATTACAATCAATGTAAGTGATGTGGAAAAGCCTTTAGGAAATGTTTTCTTTAATTCTGTAACTGGTGGAAAGGCACTCACAGTTGTGGCTTTCTTGCATTGCAGCAGTGCCAGGAGTCAAGCCCTGATCGCATTACACTGTATGGTTTGATGATGAAACCTATCCAGCGTTTTCCACAGTTCATTCTACTATTGCAGGTAAATAATGTTTACCAAAAGGATGCTCTTGTTGCATTCTTGTGGGGTTTACCTTTGGGATTACATGATAGCTGTCTTCTGCTGGAGGAGCTTGCTGCAGTGCAAGTGACCACTGTAACATGAGGAAATAACAAAGAAAAAATTTCAGTGCATTAAACGTGCTGATCTCATTGCAGCGACAGGCAGTAAGTACACTGCAGAAAAATCTTAGCAAACTAGACTTACTCTAGATTACTTGCCAAGTTAGATGTATCTTATAAGTCACTTTGTAGTACAGCTGTAGGTCAAATGTGCTACTTGTTCATATCAATTTGTTAGCTAATAATACTACAAAATATGACTAAGAACTTGGTGGCATTGCTTTCCATTTAAGAGCAATTCAAGAGGATTTATTTCACGCCTTGGAGAGTTCAGAATATATGTGGCACGCAGAACAACAGCACTCTCTCTCCCTGACTACTTAGCTCACAGGACCTGCTAGAGTGTGTTGCAACTTCCTTCTGACCTGCAGCATCTTCTGTTTCTTCCCATGGAAACTGGGGATTTGACAGGGAGTCCTTGAGTCTCATCTCAGCAGGCAGTCAAACTGCAGGAAGAGCACAGTTCCCCAGTAGAGACGTCCTCCGGACCAATTTACACTGTTTGTAACTCCTTCCAGACCACAGCAGGCCTGCCCCAGTGAGGACTGTGTGCTGGTTGTGTTTTGAGGTGCCACAGAGCAGGGCAGGCTTTGGGATGCAGGTCTGTGAATTATTGTGGGTGAAGGAGCTGCGGTAGTTGTGGGGGAAGCATGTAGGCTGGAAGTTATGGTGAGAGTTTTTTAGGTAACAGACGCGATGTAGTTTATTCTGGTAGGAAGATGGAGTGAATATGTAGAGATTTTTAAGTGCTGTGGGAAAGGAGAAAAAGTATTAATTCACATTGTTCCAACTGTATGCCTGCAAAAGTAAAAGACTTCGAGAAGCTGTTGTGATCTTCATGAAGTAAGATCTCCTACTTTAGGATGAGCACACTGTCCATTTAGTGAGGAATAATAATGATAATAAAGATAATGCAGTATTATTACAGCAGGAAGTATCAGAAAAATTTCATTTTAAATCATTGTTAACAGACATTGACATTGTACTATAATTGGTTTTCAAATTGTTTAATATTATGTTCCTTTTCTGTACTTTTGTCCTTTAAATAAGCTGTATTCAGTATCTTTTTTAAGAATTATTAAGATAGGAAGGTAAGGAGCATGCTGTCTGAATATTCATTAGGTGTTTATTAGTCTTATTCTTTAATAGTACTCAGGTAAAGAATGTATTTGTAACTTTACCTCATGTAATCTTTTGAACTTGGCTTTGAAATTAAATCTGATTTTTGTTTTGTTTTGTAATTTCCCCTCAGGATATGTTGAAGAACACTAATAAGGGACATCCTGACAGATTACCTCTACAGATGGCTCTTACAGAACTTGAAACACTGGCAGAGAAGTTAAATGAAAGAAAAAGGGACGCAGATCAGCGCTGTGAAATAAAACAAATAGCAAAAGCAATGAATGAACGTTATCTGAACAAGGTAAGGAAAGTAGGAAAGTATGATGGAAGAGTCACTTTCTGGGCCTTGAGCAATCTCTAAAACAGACCAGATGGTTTTTTCTGTAGAGCTCAACCACCTGGGGTCATTCTAGTGGTAGATGAGGGATGTGACCTGCCTCTGGAACTGAACAGGCTCGCTGGTTAAACCACGTGCTGGAGTGGTTAACATGCTGAAATAGCAGCAGCAGTATTGGTGTTCTGTGGCAGTGTAGGAAATGATGCTATATAGTAAAGTCTCCTGCACATTTTCTGCATGGGAAAATTAAATTTTAAATTAATTCTAGAATTGAGGAATTACTCCTGTATAAAGGAAGGAACCAGGTCCTTTTACTGCAGTACTTCCAACTATGGAGCAGTTCAAGATGTGCTGTTGAATGGGTCCAACATCTTCCTTAAGGAGCATCCCACTCTATTTCATTAATGCCATTTGCATCATACAGTAGAAATGTCTTTAAAGAAGTACAGAAGACATTTACTAAGAAGGAAGGAACTTTCTTCAAATGAATTTGTTAGTAACTGTCTGTACTGTGGATATATGCATGCTTGTCTTATTTGTATCATAAATAATTCCTCATTTCCCATGAAATGGGACATAAATCCTTGAGTTATTGCTTTTGTGAAGTTACAGATTTTTATGCTTTGGACTCTTTCTGGGATGAAGTAATGGGGACATACTGAAGGGATGGGGGGTTTTTTGGTGATAAAAGCATAGCTTTTCGGAAAACCAGAATAGTCAGTCAATGTGCTTGTTTTAAACTATTTATCAGGAATGGAGTACTGAATTTATTTTCATACTGGAGCAGTATTTCCATTCTAAGTGCATTAGAAGATGGATTCAAACATTTTACTTTCTTTTCTAGTTCTCATACTCCTGCTTCTTGAAGCAGCTATGATTCATCTACAGATAGTTAAAGGAGTTCAAGACACAGAATGTGCTTTTGAAGAGGTAGCCCAGGTTTCCTTTTTTCAGTCAATATTGACTGCAAAATTTTGTGTGTTATGCACCGGGGGATAAATTGATATGTATGTGGATAATCACTCCAAATCTCACAGGACCCTCCATGCTTTGTGGGTTAATGTCTGCCTATACCATTTTGGAACAGTGCCAGGCAGGGTGAAATAAATGATGAAGGAAGTGGATGGAAAGGAAGTGAGTTGTGGACCGTTTTATTCCCTTGGACACTACGGAGGTGTGTTACACCTGTAAGGTATTAGTTCATGCTTGCACATGGTGCTGATCCTCAGCACCTGAAGGCAATTGTCAGGAACAATTTACATGCCATGTATGTCTTGGACATGCCATCTTGTCTGCAGTCTCTGGCACCCTGCCAGCTGTGCTCCTCAGTTAGCTCTGTGAGCCTCGGGGGACAGCAAGCTGAGCACCTTCCTCCTCCAACCCCGGCCTCCTGCTTTGGCAGCTGGAACCCTGTGTTGCACTTCAGTGGGCTGTGAAAGAAACGACGAGGGAAGGAAACCACAGAAATTGTGGAAGCTATCATTTTTTTCACCAGGGAACCTTTATCAGTGTGGAAGATTCCCAGAGCAATTATGGTCTACATTAAGACCCAAACCCCTGCAGGCCATATTGGTGGCAGCAGAAAGTACTGTTTCTCTACATGAAAAGCAAATTAAAGAAGAGGCTTAATTCCCTTAGCAAATCTACTTGTGCTAGGATGGCAAGTGATAACCTGTTGTATTTTCTTTGGCTTTTTTTCCACTGAATGTTAGATGTACCACATATAATATACAATGCTGGTTGTTTTCAAAATCTAGCTACTCAGCAGTGGAAACAGATACCTCATACGGACTGATGATATGGTTGAGACGGTTTACAATGACAAAGGAGAAATTATCAAAACCAAAGAACGACGTCTTTTCATGTTAAATGATGTGCTGATGTGTGCAACAGTAAATATTCGGTAAGACTTGATTCATATTTTTTAGATGATCCTTTAAGTTTCAGTTTGAAAAAAGACAATGAAACTTTTCTTATTGTTCTGTCTACTATGGCTAATGACTTGTAGGATTAGTCATAATAAATGGATAACTAGCTTTGTTACAGTCCTCTAAATTGCCAGCTGATATTTGGAGGTTCTAGAGTACATTTGTAAGGAGACTATATCAGTTGGCGATTACAGATAGAAATGCTTTGTAGTGTCTAGTTATTGCTGTGTATTAGTGCTTAGTGAAGTACAGGCAAGCCAAGGTAGGACTTTTTTCTCTTCTTCCTTACATTCATAGTGTTACACACACAGAAATCTGTAACTTAACAGAATTTGCAAATAAAAAAATCAAAACATGGCTAATGCATGCAACAAGAACAAACCTGGAACTCACTAACAAAGTTCCAGATGGGAAAGTGTTTTTATCTCGAGACCTAACATTTAAGGATTAAAGTGAAGGTGCTTTGAAGAAAGGATTTTTCCTAGTGCTTTCTCTGCTTTTGTTGGCTGTAATTATTTTGTTAGTAAACCTCCGTGTATGCCAAAGTCACCCTCAAATTCAAATGCTGCCTGTATTGTAATTTGCTTTATGCAATAGTACATTCTGACAAAGAGAATATGGATCATTAAAATTTTCCAAGAACAGATTTTCTTAAGCATAACGTGAGTTGATATCTTATTATGAATAGAGTAGATATATTTTTAACCAGGTGAATGCTTTGTGCATTCACCATGTTAGTGAATGAGAATGCCATGTAATAACTGCACTTCAGAAAATGAACATCTTATGTCAGTTATCCTGTGATTCTTTTACTTTAAAAATTCTTCAGTTTCTTAGTAACAGCTGGGTATTTTCTCGTGGTTTTTTTGCAAGAACATTGCTTTTGACCAGTCATCTTTTCTCTTGTTCCATACCATCATAGTCTTGGACTTTCTGTATTTGTCCTTGAAGTGGCAATGTGCAGTCTGTTTTCATTTTCCATGTGAGAAATTCATGATTATGCCAAGTCTCTGTGTTCCTCATTAAGTCAAGAGTTCTGGTTATCACAGCACTATTCCCATGGGCATTAACTGGTGCTGAGCAACCTCCTTTGGGATGGCAATTGGGCATGCATGTGTCATGGGGGTTTGCTAACACTGAAAAAGTTTAATTAAGGCTTCCTGTAGCAGCTAAGGTTTGCTTTCAAACCTGTTATTGAAATAACAGTGGGTTTTTAGAATAGTTGAATGCACTTCTAGCTTTATTCACTAGCAGTGGAAAGGTTTTGTGACTTCCTTGGGGTGTTCATTCGAGGGTTGGTCCACCTGCAAACTGTGTGTGTGGATTTAAAATTCCTGCATGATTTCATGGACTGCTCTTAGTTTTTTACTGCAAAAGGGGCTACCTTTGCATGCCAGATAGTTAAGGACTGAAGAAAATTGTCTACCAGACTTCACATATGACACCTGTGTAGTCCAAAAGTTTTTGTTCGAAACGAGAATATGCTGTAGAATATACCACTTGCCTGTTCAGCTCACATGGGATGAGCTTTATTTCTCTTCATTTTAACTGCATAGATGTTACTCATCTTACCTAAGCTAGACTTCTGTTACAGCACTGGTTATCAGCGTGCATGGCCGCAGATTCACCCTGGAGATGTAGACCACTTCAGAAGGTTTACACGTACACAGAGCTGTGCAGTGTCTATCAGCTCATTTTTCTCAACCCCCTTTTGTCCAACCTTTACAGGAACACTCAGACATCCCAGAAGCCTGGAGACCATTAGTTCCAAATGAATTTTTTATGGCTTGCAAAAGATACTTATTTTTAGAGAGGACATGACCCTCAGAAGGTCTTTCTTCACATGTAGTCCAGATGACTGGCTTGAGCTGGAGGCCTACCTTTGAAGTAGCAGCAGTTGGACAGGGTGGATGCTATCCCTAGTGACTGAACAACTGTGTACTGCCTAGTTTTGTTTTTTCTTCTAAGCTAGATCAAGAATTTATAAATATTTACTTAAACTGTGGCACTTGTTTTTATTGTTCATACTAGCTTCTTCATTGAAACAAAAGTATGACTGTGTTGTGAATAGGTAGGTGACTAGCTGAACATCAGCAGTTAAATAAATGCATTTTTCTGATTTCTCCCAAGCATTTAACTTCTGTATTTTGGTCATGCTTTCTGTGAAGTAAACGTTTTATGTTCACTTTAACCTCTCTTTGGTCCTTTATAATAAATATTTGATACTTGTACTTGAATGTGCGTAAGGGAATGAGGGAAATAATGTAAAATTAGTATTAATGTAATTTCTCTTCCTAGTGAACTTCCTCAGTGTGCTCTTTCCTCATAGATGTGTGTTGATACACGCTTCCTTTAGCAGCAGCTCATGTGGGATTACTCTTGGAAGCCACAGCAGTTGCAGAGGTCTCCTGCACAGAACATTCTGGGCTGCATGACTTGGCAGAAATGTTAGCCTTTCAGCCCTTGGGAGGTTATGTTGTCCTTCCCGTTGCCAGTAGTGAACCAAAGATCCCATCATCCATACTTCCTTAAATATAACAGTTACTTCTTTTGAGCACTGTTTCAAAAGAGTGAGGAAAATATAGAACCAAAGTGTAATCCCAAACACTTGCGTTAGGATGTCAAAGTGCACGTCAATCTTAAAAGATGGTCATTTATACAAATGTATATATGCTATAGAAATGTAAGCACTGCTGTTGGTGGTCCTATGGTGTTTGTAAACAAGATTATCTACACCTACATAGCTGCTCTTTGCACCCTAGAAAAGATATGTCACAAAAGTCAGCCTGATGCATGTATTTTTTCAAGTTGAGCACTGTACTCAAGCTGACAAACAGCAGATTTTAGAAGCTAGAATATTAAATGGGATACCATGAAACATAGTTGCTTGTCACAGCAATAATTTCTGCATCTTCCAGGTCTTCCTATGAAAGCAGTGGCACCATGACAACTGGCCAGAGGTATTTATTGAAGTGGAGTGTACCATTGGGACAAGTGGAAGTCATAGAGTACGGCAGCAGTGAGAGCCAAGGAGAAAACTGCAGGTTTCCACCCCAGCACTCTGCTGAAAACATCATCATTAACTCTAAGCCAAGTAAGTGACAGGAGTTACTGGCTTTTACAGACTACTTTTTTAAAATCCATATTTGAAATCCAATGGACTACTGCAAACAAAGGAAAGTATTTTGTGCATGACGATTTCTGTAACATGAAGAGCATACAACCTCTTTCTTTGGAAACTGAGTGATAAAGTGATAGCCAGGCTCCTGCCTTGCAACATGAATTACTTGTGTTTGTCCTAGTTTAGAATTTTCTGCATGAATGCATAAAGAGTTTTAAAACATGAGGGTGCGTGGACACGCAAAATGGTTGTTTTGGTGTGGCATGCCAGTGGTCCCGTGGTAGCTGGTTCTGTGTATGTTCTTTATGCCATAGTTAAAACAAATAAGTTTCTCTCAATAAAAATGACCAGCCACTCTGTTGCTGTGGAGTAAGAGTCTGAACACAAGTGGTTATTGCAGGATAGAAGTTACTCACTTATTTCAAGCCCATAGTATCTTGCCCGTTAAACTAGTGCTTCATAAAAAAAACTTTAATGAATAATTTTGAAAAAATACACTAATAGGTAATTTCCTCCTATCCTCTCTCCAAAAATGACCTCAAACTCTTAAGTTTGCAAGTTCTTTCCATGCTTGTTAATCCCTCCTACAAGTCTGCCAACTGCCCTCAAGAGATGTATGAATTTTAACAGTTTACTCAGTAGCTAGACTTTCATACATGAGAAGTTTTTTTATATCCTGTGTTTTGCCTATATATTGTAATATGAAATGCATTTAAAAATCTAGATTGTGATCTGTATTAATGGACTATAATTTACATGTATTTCAGTGCTAGCTGTAGGCACTACTTCACACTACATTTATTTAATATTACACCCTTGGCTTCATGAATTTTCCCAAATTTGTGCTGTAAGGAGGCATAAATGCTACACATCAGAGTGATCTGAGGTGCAGCTGCAATATTTAATACCCCCTGTATTCTCCATGGTGGTTAATGTCAGGTCTTCTTGCTCCTCCCTTTTTAAATAGCCACAGAAAATGTTATAGGTACTTATGTCTCAATTTCAAAAGTGACTTCATTCTTGTAGCTCCTTTTAAGCATTACTGGGCTGCTTAGACAACGAGACTGAAGCCTTTTTATTATAATTTACGAGCTGCTGTATGCGTAACCCTTGGGAGGAATGTATATAAAGAAGTGCATTACTTAGAGTTGGGGGTCCCTTTTGTAGGTGAGTTAAAGTTATTAAAAGTTCCTTGTTAAAAGTTTCAGCTATGACTTTGTTCAGTAGCCTCACAGCTGATTAGACCAAATCCTGCATAGCAGCAAGGTCAGATGGGGAAGAGAAACTCGAGGGGAGAAACAAAAACTCTTGACTAAACAGTCCTGTAGAACCTTCTGAACCCCTCTTGGCTTTGAGGTTTCTCAGCTTCATCATGTTTGGTGACAGTAACAACACACAAAAAAGAAATTACTATTTACACATTTGTAGCTCGACCTTTGGCTGAAATGGTACTCAGTAGGTAAAAGATGAACTGAACTAATTTTTCTTCTGGTAAGCTCTGTTGTATTAATTCAGTCTTCTAATAAAAAGGATCAAAAGATAAGAAATAAAAAGGATGTGAAGGATGCTGGCTATACTAAAAAAATACTCCCTCAACTTTAATCAAACATTTCTGCCAAATGATCCAACTAAATTGAATATAACGAACTAAAAAAGAGGAAGAGCATACATAGCCTTGCTATTTGCACACAGTGCTATGTCTGCACTAGTGCTACTCTGAATGCAGACTTGTTCAAACTGGCTGGTACAGGCGAGTTTGAATACACACTTAATTCTGTTAGTTATTCTGCAGAGTTGCCCCCTTAGTTCCAGTTTTGGCTGCTAAAGATTACAGAAGCTCAGATACAGAAGCTCTGCCTTCCTGCAGAGGGAAAGGACTGGTAAGACTTTGTGCAGTGTTTCACGGTTGCTTTTTCATTTGCACTCACCAAGTTGCTGCATTTTATAGTTGATGATGACACAATCTTTATTATTGTAGTAGCACATCATTGGCGAGACTGCTACTTTTTACTACAAGTTGCAAGGCACTAACAGAGAAATATTGTCATACTTTGCTTGAAACTTCATATCTTTGCAGTCATCATAAAGCTATGTTTCCCTCTGTTTCCAAAGTATACCGAGGAAGTCCTTTCATGAAATCCCAGTGACCTTATAGTATGTGGTTTTAATAACATCTAATGGTCAAGAACAATTTGAGATACTGTAGGCAAAATCCTGAGACATGTAAAACCACATCTCAGACCTGATTTTCAGCTTGCATTTCTAGTTTGTGGGTACTGGAGAGATACAGAATAATCGTGATTCTGTGTAAAAGCATTAAGTAACAGTAGAGGGGTCACATCTTCCATTTCTGGAGGACTGAGAGAAGTTGGTTTCTATCTGCCACATGCCAGGTTAAGTACTTGCCCCCTGTAAGTTCAGTATTCTCACATTAATGCTGTGATTAGCAAGGATTCTTGATGGATTTAGGCTGTGTTTTGGTGAGGATTACGGGTTATTAGTCACATTTCTCTTATCATGGCACTTTTTCTCCACCAAAATCTTCTTTATGAGAAGGCAGTTCTCATAATCGTATCTTACTTTTTTTTTAATTGGCAAAATGCAATTAAGTGTTTTCTGTTTTCTATGATATTGCAAGAAAGGATAGTATAGTTTAAAGATGCAAACTTTACGTTTGGTGCTACAAAGAATGACTGAATTTGAATTAATCTTGTACAGGCTGTACTATGAAACTGCTGAAAGGTTGAAAGATTTTATGTGTACATATAAATTAAAGGCATGCTTTAGTACTGTTCTAAGTTGGAAAGCAAGGGCTGTGTGAACTTGGTTTTCACTTGGCAAAATCATCAATGTGCAGTTTTCTACCCCACTGAGCTTTGCATAGCAGTCTTTTGTCTCTGAATTGTAGAGGAGAACACATTTAGAGGCTGTTATTTTTGTGTCTTTGATTTAAACCCTTTGTATTTTGGCAGGAGAAACTGTGTGGCCTGAGGGGGTGTGGGGGAAAGCAGGAAAACTTTCCTGGAGTGCATTTTACTGTACTGCCCCATACTTGATGTGCTCTTACCTTGTTCCTGTTGTTCTCCTCTAGTACCAACAGTAGACTGAATTCTTTTAGTTGTGAATGTGGAGGATTGAAGTCTCAGGTCTTTGGTGAAGTCCTGTATCTGTACGATTCTGATATTGTTTCCTAGTGGAGTGCGATTATAACTTATGTTTGCTTCCTGCAATAATATTTAAACCAGAAAATATTTGACATTCTCAGTCTTCAGGAAAAAACAGCGTGTTTATCAGATCACATTTCTCTCAACAAATTAATCAAAGTCCTTGACTAATTCATGTTTTGGAGTTAGTCTTACTTGAAAGTCTGTGAGTATGAGTCTCTGGTATCCCAAATGGACAGTTCCTGTGGAAGTAGTTATCTTAATCATGTGTGCCAAAAGCTTAATGTTTTCATTTCCTTTCCAAATGTAGAACCGTTTGCAGAAAGATGCAAGATAGAGATTTTTCACTAGTAAATCCATGTACTGTTTCTGGTAGGCTATTGGTGTTCTCTTCTTCCAATTAGTCCATCTACAGAAGCACAGACACGTTCATTGTATGGAAAAGTGGAATTAATATAGGAACAGAGGAATATTTTCAGTGTGAACAGGAAGTTGTATATTGTTGGTTTTTATTTACTTGTGTTGGTAGGAAGTTCGCCTTTCTCGACTGGCTGGTGATGCTTTGCCTGATGCCCCCCAGGATATGGTTGGCCCTCCTGGCTGCCAGGGCACTGCTGACTCATATTCACCTTGCTGTTGACCGGGACCCCCAGACCTCTTTCCTTTTCATTGTCTCCTTCCCCAGTCTGTACATACATCTGGAGTTGCCCCATCCCGGGTGCAGAGTCAGGCACTTCCTCTTGTTAAACTTCCTACTGTTGGCAATTGCCCAGTCCTCTGATTTCTTGAGGTCTCCCTGCAGGGCCTTTCTGCCTTTGAGGGAATCAACAGCTCCTCCCAGTTTAGTATCATTGGTAAACTTACTTAGTATACCTTGGAGTCATCTGTGAAGACACTGAAGAGAACTGGCCATAAGAGAAAGCCCTGCAGAACACCACTAGTGACTGGATGCCAGTCTAATGTTTTACCTCATTCACTATAACTCTTTGTACTCAACCCATAAGTCCGTTGCTCATCCACCACATGATGTGTTTACCCAGCTGTGTGCAGGACATTTTGTTCAGAAGGATAATGTAAGAGACAGTATCAAAAGCTTTACTGAAATCCAAAAAGTTTATATCAGCTGTCTTTCCTTGATCAACCTGATCCCTTATCATAAAAGGAAATTAAGTTTGTTAAGCAGGACTTTTCCCTCACAAACCTGTTCTGGCTGGGACTGATGATTGTGTTGTCTTTCATGTGTTTTTCACTAACTCCTAGAATAATCTTCATAATTTTACCAGGCACTGAAGTGAGACTGACAGGCCTGTGGTTAGCATGGCCATCCTTCTTGCCATTCTTGAAAACTGGGACAGTATTTGCCAGTTGACTGGGACCTCTTCAGATTCACAGTTGGATTGAATATATGAAAAGAGAGCATCAAGAAAGTTAAATGCTACCCATACTCTTCTGATGAAAAAAGAGGATGAGTGAAAACACAGTGGATACAACTTTGTTTTTAATATGTCATATCGATATATTTTAAATATACCTTCCAAAAATATAAAAAATACAGTCAAAGGCAAATTTATAACTTCTTCCCAAAATGTTCAGTATTTCCCCTTAGAAGAATAAGAAGTCAACCTTCCCTTGCAAGTCATCGATGTTTACATAAAATCACTGCAAATACATGTATTGCTCTGCCCTTTAAATGGGAATATAGGAACAAAAGTCAAATATACTGGCCAGAGTTTCAGTTTCTCAGACTCCTGGCACATGTTATGAGTTTGCAGCACTTGATGCAAACTGTTGGTGGGTTGTGAAATGAAG